CCCCAAAACCCCAAAACCCCAAAACCCCAAAACCCCTTTTGTGACACAAATATAGAAAAGTGTTATAATAATAAATATGAAGTACATCATCCTGGCTCTTTGTTTGTTGAGTGTTGTCTTAGCAAGGACTAGAGTGACCAGTCCGTTTGCTCATCCAAAGATAGATGTTGAGAAGATCAAAGCTCTACATACAGATATTGTTGAAGATACAGTTGACATGAAAATTGATCATTTCAATGCAAATGGACAATCAGACACTTATCCAATGAGGTACCTAGTTAACGCTAAGCACTATCAAAAAGGAGGTCCAATCTTTTTCTATGCTGGTAACGAAGGAAATGTATACACCTTTTATAACAATACTGGATTCATGGTAAACACTCTTGCTGAGGAGTACAAGGCTCTAGTAGTCTTTGCAGAGCACAGATATTTCGGAGAATCTCTCCCATTTGGAGATAAGTCTTTCGATACTGAAAATCTTAAGTATCTCAACGTTGAGCAGACCATGACAGACTATGTTGAGTTTATCAGAGGATTCAGGAAGGAATCAGGCCTCGACCAGACTCCAGTAATTGTCTTTGGAGGATCTTATGGAGGTATGCTCGCTTCATGGTTGAGAATGAAATTCCCAGAGACCTTCCAAGGTGCAATTGCTTCATCTGCTCCGATTATTTATTTCAAGGACGCTGTACCAGAAGATGGATTCTACAATGTTATTCAAGATGTATTTACTCATAATCATCCAGAATGTTCTGAGAATATCAAGAAAGTTGCTGAATTGATTGTTTCATTCAAAAACCAACCAGAAAAGATCAGATCTCTTAAAAGTATGTATAATACTTGCCAGGCAATTGAAACTGCAGATGATGTTGACAAAATCACTGGATTCTTATACAACGCTTGGATCTACATGGCTATGACTAACTATCCTTATCCTACTGAGTTTTTAGCTCCAATGCCAGGAAATCCAGTTGATGTATCTTGTGAGCCATTCGACTTGACTGCTTCAAAGCCAAAGATCACTAGCCTTCTCAAGAAAGATAGTCTTTTCTCTGACGATGAGCTTGCTCTTCTTCAAGCTGCTGCTGACAGTGTCCAGGTATTTTACAATTACACTGGAGAACTCGCATGTAACGATCTGAGCGGAAGTGAGACTCCTAACCTAGATGCCTTTGGATGGGACATTCTGGCTTGCAATGAGATGGCCATGCCAATGGGTACCGATGGAAAGGACAACATGTTCCTTCCAGAGTCCTTTAGTTATGAAGCTCATACTAAGCAATGCGAAGAGAGATTCGGAATCACCCCACAATTCGATTTTGCTTTAACTTTCTTCGGTGGAAGGAATCCAACCTTCGACTTTGCAACCACTTCCAACATAGTGTTCGCTAATGGAAACATTGATCCATGGAATGCTGGAAGTATTACTATACCTGTAAGCAAGGATACTGTGACTATTAACATTGAAAACTCAGCCCATCACTTAGAACTCAGAGATCCAAATCCTCTAGACCCACAATCTGTTGTAGATGCTAGAAATGTTGAAAGAGAACAAATCACAAAGTGGCTTGCCCAATTTAGAGAAATAGTTGAATCTTCTTAAACTCTTTTTCAGCATTTGTTGAATACTCAGGGGTTTTGGGGTTTTGGGGTTTTGGGG